ACTCTCAACAACGTTCCTAGTGGACTCAAATGTTAAAGTGTGGTGCCTAAGGATTTCGAGTCCATAGTATGGTTGAATATCGAGATTTTGCAGCGGATTATAATAAAGGAGCTTGGAGTGTTCTGTGTTATCTTTGGTCTACGGGGTATCATGAGAGGAATGGGATCATGTAACTTTAGATTTATAGAAGAATTGACAGAATGGGTATACTAGTTGAAGATGTGATTATTCGCACAAGGAGGGTATGAAATGGTTTGTGGGTTTTGAGACAACGTGATCTTGTGAAATGGGGTCACTCATGACTAGTGCAGATTGGGTTCGCAATGTTTTGAATGGAGCTATTATTATTCCTAAGGCAAGTCTAGGGTAAATTAGAAGAAGTCTGATCAGTTAGCAATGGTTGAATCAGCATGATGATGGCAATGATCAACTCCTTCAGCGTGTTGAGTTACTCATGTGATTTGTGATGGTACGTGTGAGGTTTGACGGTCGCCGTAACTGATCTTATTTGGAGGCTTTCGAGTATTATGGCTTGTTATGTGCAGATGGATCCCGGAAGGGTTATGGTGGTTTAGAACACTACTTAAGGTTGGTATTTTCTGTGGATATGAGGTTTCAGTCACGTGTGCAATAGTTCTCTTGGAATGAGTTAATTAAAAGGTTTCTATAGGATGAAGTGTTTACCCTATTAGTATTTCGGAAGTTAAGATGAAATCCTTTTACTCTTGCACATTGGCATGATTATGTGCAGTGATCGACATGAGATTCAGAAGTTGAGGATCAAGGTTGCAGTTTGGTATCGACAAGAATGTCAAGAGCTCAGATGAGCGGGAATGGATTCAGATGGTTAGAGTAAGCTGGTATTGTCTTTAGCATCGCCTGAGATCAGTGTCCTATGTAAGAGGCTTTGAGTACTAATTTCGGATTTTTGATTTGTTTTACATCATTTGTGCGGGCAATGGTATGGATGTGTAGACTTGTTATCTCGTTGGAGAACGTCACACGAGAAGATTGCATAAGTGTGACATGTAGTCACTTGATTGATCAAAGATTGGAACCAAATATGGAGATTGTGGTACTATTGTTCATATGAGAATTTATGGCTGGAGGGCGCTCGGTTCATTTGGTTGTAGACTGTGGAGGTTTGTTCCGGATATGATGGTTGTTCTTGTGTGTTATGAGAATAAGGGTTATTATGAACCCATAAAAGGTTATTAGACTAGTACGGTGTGATCCGAATCAGCTTGAGGTCTATGGGTGGATCTAGATATGGATGTGGGCTTTATGTTGGGCCAGAGGTGTTCATTTCAGCATAGTGCTCCTTGTGGAGGAGTATTCAGATGTTAGATGTTAATTTGTCACCGGCTACTTCATGTAATACTATATTGTGTCGTGTGAGTTGTGAAATGGCTAGTTAATTTCATATGTGTTGAAGTTCCACGCAGCGATAGTGTTATGTGAGCAGGATGGATCCTGAGATGCAAATCATATATCCCACCTTAGTTGTGTTTGAGTTTTGTGGCATATGACGCTATCTGTCTCCCTAGGGATGGTATTATGCACTTGGCGTGCTTGTGGCCAATATTCCCGTATTTTGTAGTTATAAGCGTTCTAGCTCGGTAAGTATCTCCTTATGTAAATTTTGTGTGTGGATTGGGTGACCTACCTCCACAAGTATATTGTTTGGATCTGGTTGCACACCGCAACAGTGTGATGTTGGGTATAGTCCCCTATAGCTATTTTTGTGTGTTTTATTTTTCATTTTCTGAGGAAGGTTCATGACACCTTTTCGGTTGACTAATTAGTTACGCGGGTTGAGTAATCCTTTCTAGAGTTCATTTTCCTTATTTATCACATTCGGATTTGTAGCTTATTGGCACACTGTGGCATCATATGAGACTTTTGGCAGTGTCTGAGGTCGTTTATTGCTTGGGCAACTTATATTGGGTGAGACGAGATTATTGGATTTGGGATCAGTGCGATCAGATAATATAAAGTATATCAAAGAGAAAATATCGTTATTTGGTTCATAATGAGGTAACAGTTCCTGTCAAGAGAATAGACTTAATGATTTGTTGACTTAGCAGTTGGTTATGAGTTTCTACACACCTCTTCCGTCGTGGTAGTATTGCAAGAGTTGAAACATGACTTATATGTGTCATGAGGTGTGTTGTGAGCATCAGATTCGTGGAATTACGCTATTATTATCAGAGGATGTTATTTTGGTCATGTGGGTTATGCAGTGCATAGTGTAGATTCATCAAAGATATGTAATCATGTATTGGTGCATCGTGTAGTGATTGATGCGGTGTTCGTATAATAGAAACATGCATTGTAGAAAATTCCGGATGTTGGAATTTGGCTCTAAGGCTAATTTGACTAAACAATAGAGGAATCTTCAGACTGGCTCGAGGTAGTGTGCTCAACTGGGTTGTGGTAGCACGGGTAGGTTTTCGAGGTGTTAACCAATGATTTCGGACAACTCCAGTGCAGTTCTTAGCACATTCGAGGACGAATGTATGTTTAAGTGGGAGATAATGTAATGACCCGACCGATTATTTTGAGCTCTAGCGTATCGTTCAACAGTTTGAGACCATTAGCAGCTCCACTTAAGGTATTATGACTTGTACGCGTGGTCGGAACTGTAATTTTAGAAGTTCGGAGGATTGGAAAGACAAATCTTATTTCGGAAGCTTCAAGCAAGAAGAATTGACTAAGGTTGAATTTTTGAGTAAACAACATCGAAATCGGGATTTGAAGGTTCCAGCAGGTTCGAATGATGATTTTGGACTTGGGCGTATGTTCGGATCGGGTTTTGGATCCTCTAGGAGCATTTTGGCGCCTATTGTGGAAGTTAACATCTTAGAAGAATTTCATAAATTTGGGTTGAAGTGCATTTTAATGTCATCGATGTCTTCTTGGAATTCCGAGTCTGAGGATAGCCCCGTATGGTGATTCCGGTATTGGGAGCGCGTTCGGAAGTGGATTTGGAGGTTTGTAGATCATTTTGGAGTCGTTTGGCGAAAGTTAGAAATTTGAAGGTTTTTGAGAATTTTGACCAGGAGGGGAATTTTTGATATCGGGGTCGGATTCCAATTCCGGAAGTTTGAATAGATCCGTAATGTCAAATGTGACTTGTGTGCAAAATTTGAGGTCATTTGGACGTGATTTGATAGGTTTCGTCATCGAATGTAGAAGTTTGAAGTTCTAAAGTTCGTTTAAATTGGAGTGTGATTCATGGTTTTAGCGTTGTTTGATGTGATTTGAAGCCTCTAGCAGGTCCACATTATGTTTTGGAACTGGTCGGGGTGATTGGACGGGGTACCGAGGGCCCCGGGTGGTTAACGGACGATTCATGATTTTAGCGTTCCTTTTTTTTTCAAGAAAAAAATCCACAGAGTTTCAGGATATTTTGAATACTAGGGCTTTCAGATCCGGGTGATTTTCTCTTCTTCCTCACTCTTGGTTTTTCTCGATTTTCTTTCTCTATTCTAGAAGTCAGTCAACATGCAAGGAGAAACAAATAAATGCACAAGTAACACGTAAAATGCATCAAGATGGTCTTTTAAATTGGGTGCACCTGTCCTAGACGGACCCAACCCCTATGTTGAGTCCCCAAAGTCAAATGCACGTGATGCAAACAAACATACCTGCTAAGGATCCAGTATGAGGCTATGTCATTCTAATTTTAAAACCTGGATGTATTGTTCTAGTATTAGCTTACTCGAGCGGACAACTCGATTT